ACAGTGATCCAATATCGACGCTTACTTTGTAATTCTTTTATAAATGAGATTTTTTCTTCCAATGGTAGGTAAACAACATATTTAAGGGGTGTGAGCATGGGTTGGATAATTTTATAAATTGAGTTTTGGTGTTCATTCGACACATTTATTTTTGAAGTTTTACTCCTATGAAGAATAATATATTTGAAGTTGTATGAAAGATTAGATTATATTTTAGGATTCACATATGCTTCTAGACTTTTGAGTAGATATTTTATTCATTTTTATCAACATTTTCTCAGGTACAAGGGTATTTGACTAAAAAAAAGTATTTTTTGGTTTATTTTTTTAGATTAACTATTTTTAATAATAGACATATCCAAATGTCATAATATATTAGTATTACTATCATGTATAATATTGCCATTACTTTTATTTTTATTAACGTTTTATAAACAAACTTTATTAACTAATAATCAACTAAATTTGCATCAATTTGTTTAAAAATACAAAAAAGTTGTATTTTAGGACTACCGAAAATTTTTAATGTTCTATTTTTAGTCAATCCAAAATACTAAATGTTATATTCTAGATTAAATTTTAATGTTTATTAAAAGTGTTAGATTACTCATTTATTTATAAATTAGTTAAATAGTTATCATTTATATACAAAACGTCAAATGACTAAAATAAATTGTTAGAAAAGAATAAGGAACATATCAAAAATTGTCTAAATAGAAACTACATGCATGGTAGACGTTCGAAAATATTAAGGAACATACCAAAAATTGTCTAAAAGGAAAGTACAAGGATTGTATATCCTTTGCAATATAACATTCTGAAACTATTTTCCGAAAGAAAATTACACAGCAAAAAGAAAACTATTCACTGCCCCACACATTCAATGTCCGTAGCATCCATCCTGATTCACCAATAGCATTGATCAATGAATTAATTTCATGTTCTTCGAAACGTTTCCAAAAACCGAGATAGTTCGACAACTATGTACAATATACTTTTATTTTGAACTCCAGAAACAACGTAATTTTTAACCGACATAACTCTTGGTCAACATGTTGGAAAGAGGGTATTTTTGTCAATAATTC